CTCAGAAATTAAATGATGTTTGGGCAATGTACTGCAGCTAGGAGTGTAAGTAGTTCGGAAGGGACTAGGGATCAGGGAATAGAGATAGAAAAAACCATGAGTGAACAAAGTTCTAATTGTAGAAAGAAAAGTAGGGAAGAAAATTTAAAATTGAATACTGAAAGGTATATGTTGAGGCTCAGATATGACTGCAGGGAAAAGTAGTAGAAGGAAAAGTAGAATTAACTACCTAGGAGAGTACAAAATTACCTAGATCAGACAAAAAAAATTAATACAAATAAACAACCAAAACCAGCAATGTAGACTTATGTAAAGCAAAATATGGATTTTCAATTTTTCTCTATGTATATACATGTACATGTATGTATACATGCACATAATATACATGCCTCTGTCGAGGCAAGAGGCTATGGATAGCATGTGAGATGGCAGGGCTCTGACTCACTGAGCAGTTAACATATGAACCAGAAAGCTGAGTACTTGGGCTGGGAAGGTGGCTCAGTGGTAGAGCGCTGGCCTTGCATGCATGAGGCCTTGGGTTTGATTCCTCAGCACCACATAAGCAAAAAGAAAAAAGCCGGAAGTGGCGCTGTGGCTCAAGTGGTAGAGCGCTAGCCTTGAGCTGAAGAGCTGAGGGACAGCGCCCAGGCCCAGAGTTCAGGCTCCACAACCGGACCCCCCCCCCAAAAAAAAAAGAAAGAAAGAAAGCTGAGTACTTAGCAAACTTCAGGCTGAAAGTTGTCTTGTCCTGGCATCATGTGATGGGATTCACTCCTGGTCATGGAAGGTGGAGCCTCCAACAATTCCAGTACCTCAAGCTGCCTGTAATGGCATGGCACCCCTGCTGGACAGTTTGAGCAGCAGCTGTTCTCAGATGACTGCTGTGGAGACAGTGCTGAGAAGAGCAGCCACACACATGCCTCTGCTTGGCGACTGTATGGAGTACCAAGCCCCCTTCAGGGGTCTGTTAGGTGTCTCAAGTACACTGCTAGTGTACTTCCCCAGTTTTTTCTCTGTTTCCCAGAGAAATCCTTCCCACAATAGGTACTCCCTCAAGATGGTATCTTCCTATCATCCTGAGGTATTGCAAGTTACAGAATACTTTTCCTCACCAAGGCTGACTTTCCACACCAGAGTAGCCAGTTTCACAAATTCCTATACTGAGAGAAAGGATTATGGGATAGGTGAGCTTTTCTGCAGCTAGAATTGGCAGTCACCAAGACTGTTTTACCTTGTAATGGAGTCTTCAGCTTCCCCTTCTCCCAGAGAACTAGTGATGGGCTTAGCACACCTTGCTGTTTTTGCCAACTTGGTTTCTCTAGTTTTCTACCTTCCTGCATTGTGGTTCCTGGTTTTCTTCTCTTCAGCATTTAATCTTTTCTGACACAAGTTTTTTCATTCACACAGTAAAAATGGTAGATACTTTTAATCACCTTGTTTTGCTTCTGTGTGTGTGCGCGCGCACCAGCATTGAGGCTTGAGCTCATTGTATTCTTGTTTTTTTTTTTTAAACATTTTTTAGTTTTTTTTTTTTTTTTTTGGGTCCGGTCATGGGGCCTGAACTCTGGGCCTGGGCGCTGTCCCTCAGCTCTTCAGCTCCAGGCTAGTGCTCTACCACTTGAGCCACAGCGCCACTTCCGGCTTTTTACTTATGTGGTGCTGAGGAATCGAACCCAGGGCCTCGAGCATGCAAGGCAAGTGTTCTACTACTGAGCCACCTTCCCAGCCCTTGTTTAACTTTTCATTAGAGGCTTCACTCTATCACTTGAACCACACTCACTTCCATCCTTTTGGGATCAGATATCTGTCCGGGATATCTGTCTGCCCACGCTGACTTCAAACTTCAATCTTCAGTTCTTAGCCTCCTGAATAGGTAGAATTACTGGGCAAACCACTTGTGCCTGGCTTTAGATTTTCTTGATTATTCCTCACTGCTATTTGCTTTTAAGAACATTGCCAGAAGTTTCAAATAGTTGCTTTATTTACTTTTTGTATAGAAATAACTACATGGGGGGGGGAGGCTGGGAAGGGATGTGAAGGGTAAACAAAGGAGGAGGCTGCAATGCTTGGTAAGAAATGTACGCATTATCCTGCCCATGTAATTGTAACTCCTCTGTACAGCATGTTCACAAATAAAATAAAATTTAAAAAAAAAGAAATAACTACATGGAAACAGTGGGACAAAAGGTTAACTAATTCGGCAGTGAAACACACTAAACACTACATTGGAAATGAACTATACAACTTGGGGGGAGAGGGAATTTGGGAAGGGAAAAACCGGGAGAGAATGGAGGAGGTGACATTGTTCAAAATGAAATGTTATTTATTACCTGACTTATGTAACTGCAACCCCTCTGTACAGCACCTTTACAATAAAAATTTTTTTAAAGTTACAGAACAAAAACCCTCTATATATCAAAGTATTGACAGTTTTTATACTAAAAATGACAGTGGAATTAACCCTGTTTGTTTCAGAAACCCTAAGTAATGTAGAATCTAAAGTATATTAAAACACACACACATTTGGAAGATTGATGTAATACCATTGAACCATAACCCCTAGCTCTGATTTTCACTAGTTATTTTAGTAAAGGGCTTTGCTTCCCAGGTGGGTGTGGTACATGAGCTGGGATCCACCTACGAGGTGCTGTGGGATCAGAGATATGCACTGCAGCAGCCAGCTTCTTGCAGATGAGACTCACCAATTGTTCTGCCTGAAATTCATTCTTGATCCTATCTCAACCTTACATGTAGCCTGGACTGTTGAGTGTACCACTGAGCCGAGTTTTACAATAAATAACAGGCTATATGACTTTAAATGTACAAAACATTTTAAATTTGGTCTACTTTTACTACTGAGTAAAGGAAAATTGATTACCATAATATGGATTAAAAACTTGGAAAGATGCTTTTAGTTGGAGGTTGTGGGATTTGGACTTATTTTTCCTCAGAAGAAAAAAAAACACAGAAATTTCTTTTAACTATTGTGATAGACTTCAGTTTAAGTATCACACAGCACAGAATGAATGGCTACGGCATGGTTTTTTGTGTAGTTATATTCTTTTGTAACATAAATACAGAACTAAATACTTGAGGGGAAAAACTGTTCATGTGTATTTGATGTTAAAAATAAAAGTGACTGGGCTGGGAATGTGGCTTAGGGTAGAGTGCTTAACTAGTATGCATGAAGCCCTAGGTTCAATTCCTCAGTACCACATAAACAGAAAAGCCAGAAGTGGTGCTGTGGTAGAGTGCTAGCCTTGAGCAAAAGAAGCTCAAGGAAAGTGCCCAACCCCTGAGTTCAGGCCCTAGGACTGGGCTCCCCTCCCCCGCCCCCAAAAGTGATCTATTTTTAATGTTATCCTATACTGACTTTAGTATTTGGTCAAACTATAGCACAAGGTAATACTTTAATATATTGTTAAAATCTTTAAGCAAATCTATTAAAACATAAGAAAACCACCACGTACCTAAGCTGTGGCTCATGACTGTAATTGTAAACACAGGAGGCTGAGATCTGAATTTGAAGTTAGCCCAGGCGTTAAAAAGTAGAAGGATTGGGGCTGGGAAGGTGGCTCAGTGCTAGAGTGCTTGCCTTGCATGAATGAGGTCCTGGGTTCGATTCCTCAGCACCACATAAGCAAAAAGAAAAAAGCCAGAAGTGGCGCTGTGGCTCAAGTGGTAGAGCACTAGCCTTGAGCTGAAGAGTTGAGGGACAGAGCCCAGGCCTAGAGTTCAGGCCCCACAACCGGGACCCCCGCCCCCCCCCAAAAAAAATTGGCAGGATTCCTACCTCCAATTAACCAGCAAAATCTGAAGCTGGAGGCAAGCTCAAGTGATAAAAGACCAGTTGTGAGTGAGAAAGCTAAGCAAGAACAAGGGGGCTTAACTTAAACAAAGCAGAAAAACCTTACTGAAATGATCAAATTTATTATTACCATTTTGGTGGTGCTAAGGATAAGACTTAGGGTTTTGAACATGTTGGGCAAGCACTTTACCACTCAACTACATCCTCAGGTCAAGGTTAATTTCTTTCATTAAAAAAAATTATTCTCAAGACAATTGTGTTACATGGTTCAGGATGATCTCATTTTACTTCAGCTGACATTAAAGATGCACACCACTATGTGTGGCAAGGAAAAATTCCACAAAAAAAAGGTATAAATGAACCTGAGAGACTAGGACAGAATGATCTTGAGTTAAAAACCAGCCTGGAAGCTGGGTGTTGGTGGCTCACACATATAATCCTAGCTACTCAGGGGACTGAGATATGAGGAAGTAGTTCAAAGTTAGCTGGGGCTGGCTTATCTCCACTTAATCAACAAAAAAGCTGAAAGTGGAGCTGTGGCTCAAGTGGTATAGCACAAGTCTTAAGCAAAAACGCTCAGGGACAGTACGTAGGCACTGAGTTTAAGCTCCAAGAAGGGCACCAAAAAACAAAAACAAAACAAACAGCTTGTACTATGTAACCATGTGTAAAAAAATAAAGCAATAATAAAAAGTACAAATAGCAAAAACCTTATTTTATTAATACTCTTCCTAATATTATGAGAATAAAAATTTAGTTATGGGTTTAATGTCAGATATTATTTAAAACAATGGAAACAGACATTTGTCACTGTTTTTAAAAGCAGCTTTTCCTGTTTATTAGTCTTGATGTCTTGGATTTGAGACATGACTGTTACAATGAATTATGAATTCAAACTATCTTCATGTATTATTAAATACACTTTCAAGTCTAGTTCCTACAGTCATTTCTACAACCTTTCTTACTGATCATTTTCACATAACCAAATGTTTAAGTTCTCTAACACATCAGTTCTACGGAAGCCAAAGGAAGAGTTCGCTGTTGCTAATTCTATCATTGCCATTTGTTTCTTCAACAACTGAGTTACAAAGGTAAGTTCTTATCAATATAGGGTTCACCACATAACTTTTATGGGGCTTTAAATTTAGAAGCAACAAAAACCAACCAACCAAACATAAACCCCAAACATCCATTCAGTATGGAAAGAAACAATCCTATTTATTATTAGGTTCATTGCATATTCAGAAAGGATTAAAACACACACACATATGTCACTTATCTCCTGGGACACAAACTGTACCAAAAGTATTCCATACAAAAAATAACTTCACAACCAACAGTCTTGAATTTATACAAAGATATACAGAGGACTCGTGAGCTTGAATCAAAACATAATTGAAACTTTTGTTTTTACAATTTCCTAATAAATTCTTATTGCATTAATATGAAAGTGTGTTTGCTTTAACCTCTTAAAACAGTAATAAAAATTAGAAAATAATGTAAGTGTAGAAGAAAGGCTGAGACTATATAATCTAGTATTAATAAGACAATACTTATAAAAATTGTTGCTGTATATTTTATTTACACACAGGATACACTCTTTGTGATAACCTGCCAGAAGTTTACTCACCAATTTCTTTTCCCATGTATCTGTTTTTTGGTGTTGGTGGTGTTTTTTTTTTTTGGAACAGGAACTCTCCTTCTTGGCCAAGCCGGCCTTGAACTATCAATAAGTCATCGTTCCTCAGCCTCTCAAGTGTGGGATTACAGGGCATGGACTACCATGCCTGGCTTTCCATGTATATTTGAATTCACATTTGTTTGTGCTTTTTCTATTTTTGTCTTGAATTCTTCATTGAGTTTCCTCATATATTTACAATTAAATATCTAGTCTTTAGAATCTTCCTTATACAAAAACCGAAACTTCTTTGTTAAATAAATTTACACAAAAGTAATAAAAAAGGCTGCTTTCCAGAAATAGCTCTAACATGTTCATAATTATACTGAAAAATAGTACATTTCTCTTCAGGATCAATGAATGTTGTATGTCAGTTTTGTAGTTACTGCCATAGAAGTATTTTCTTCTGACACATTTGCAAGATAACAACCAAGGGACATAGTTACTGCAGTAATTCCAGTAAATCCACACGGTCCATTGAGATCCATAAAATTGAATAATTGCTTCCAGTCTCATTTGGATAGACATGGAAATTCATGCCCAGACTCATATCATCCCCAGAAACATTCAGTTGGGTAAGTCACCTTTTGGTCTTCTGAGAAAGAGATATAGAGGCAAGACATTCTTAGTGAGGTCAGTGGTCCTTGCTCTGTTACCTTTCACATACCTGTTTTAGTTATTAGTCCTGGCCAAAGTGGAAAAAGAAAAGGCATAGTCAGTTTTATGAAAAATTTCCTTTCCTAAATTCCCTTATCATACATGCATGCCTAAATAAACCATGGAATTCTGCTATATAATTACAATTCTTGGAATAAACAGATTTACTTAAATCTTCATGTAACCATTTCTTTCATGTTTGAAAAAACAATCACAACAAAAGCACTAATCAACATGTGTGTTGATAAAAATACATAAACAACATATATTCATAATGTATGTAATTTGAAATCTACTTTGTTGGAATTGCATTATTTTAGAGACAATTCTGTAGATTTCTACTTACTTTGCTCATTTTCTTCAATAAAATTATGATTTTAAAAACTTGGCAGAGGGTGTAGACCAGTGATACAATACTTGCTTCGCATGTATGAGCCCTAGGTTCACTGCTTAAAACACACATACACAAACACTATCTCTACACAATTATGATTATCTAGGTCACAAAATAAAAACAATCAAAAGGAATGTATTAAAGGAGACCCATGATCTCATTAATATGGTGATAATATACTGAATGCAATATCTATAGATATTTGCTTACTCAGACATATCTACAGACTCTATGAAGTCTTCTAATTACAACCTCTAAATAGAAAATACACATTTTTATAATCTGATAACTGAAAACCTTTATGAATAGAAATGCACTAGAAACTGAAATATCCACTAAAGTAAACAATTGGATCTCCTGAATGATATTGTATATTTCTAAGCATAGAGACTTAAGATACACATGTTTCCCTGAAGTCCAGGTCATTTAAAAATGCCATGAGTGTAAGCCAGGCCCAAAGAAGCATAGGTCCCATGGTTTCCCTTATTGGCAATAACTAGTATATGTCTGAGTCAAGCAGAAAAGGTCAGATAAGTTGATGTTAGGGAAATGAACCGTAAGATAGGTATTCAAATGTTTTTTTTTTCTTTCATGTGATTGTTTCTAACACATTTATAAGATTATTTCTTTGTTGCTTTGTATGTCCCTCCCTCACGGTATAACCCCTGCTTTCACTGTATTTGATGTCAGTATAATTTGTGCAGGGGAAGGGAAAAAACAAATCGTTTAAATAGGGATACAGGTGGACCCACTGCAACAATGAGATGTACAAGTTGTTATGTTGAAAACGAACTTTACAACTTTGGTGGGGGGCGGGGGCGGGAAGGAGGATTTGGTGGTAGGGGCGGGAAGAGGATGGGAAGGGATGAGAAGGGGAAACGAAGGAGGAGGCTACAATGCCTGATTAGTAATGTTCTCATTATCTTGCCCATGTAATTGTAACCCCTCTGTACAATATTTTTCACAATAAAATAAATAAAGCTTACTGGAAAAAAATGTCATGAGTAAATTTTGTTTTTCATTGTTTCGTAAAATAGTATTTTTAAAAATAATATGTAGTTGACAAAACACGGTATGCAATTTCTATTAAAAAGTAACAAAATAAGTAATATGTATAAAAATACATATACAGTTACATTATTTCCTATTTCCTTTCCTACTATTTTGTCTCAGATTTTATGGATGAAATATATCAATATTCCAATATGGTTATTGTATTTTTTAATTTCACATTACAAGCCACAGTTCAATATAAATGGAAAATAAGCTGAAACTGGGGATCTATTACGTATTTGTCAGATTGTCTTTTGCAAAACAAAGACAAGTAGGATACAAAAACAGTGCATAGACTAAAATAAACCAGTTTTATAATCTAAATCTTTTAACACTGCTATCACAAAGCTAAACATTTAGACTCTTCCTCATTTTCCTATATTTACCAATTTCACTGGGAAGTACCTTGGTGCATTTTTCTGACAGTCACTGTACTGGGCATTCAACAGATCTGTTTTCATTATCCCTGGAAAATTCTTTTATATGTGATCACTTCTCTATTTTCCTTTTAGGGCCTCTTAGTAGTCTGAATTATTTCTATCGCCAAACTTTTTTTCTATTTGGGAAGTTTTGGTGATTTTAGTCCTTTTATTGAACTTTTTATTTTAACAAAAATATTTGTAAACAATGTTTACTTATTCTTTACCCAGACAATTTCCTTCTAATTAGTAACTGTGACCCCTTCCATTTCCTGGTGTATATGGGTTAACAAGTATACCTAGCCTTTTCTGTTGAGATGAGGGTCTCATGAAATTATGCCCTGACTAGACTGGTATCATTAACCCAGTACTTGGATCCTCCATTCTGGAACTTGATCTCAACCTCTTGAGTATGAGCCACTGGCACTCTGTCAAGTCATCTTCTGTTTTTTATTTATTTTTTGTTTTGTTTTTGTTTATGCTATTTCTTTCTCTCTTATTCCTTTTTTTGCCAGTCCTGGAGACTGTTCAAGGCTAGCACTCTACCACTTGAGCCACAGCACCACTTCTAGCTTTTTGTTGTTGTTGTTTATGTGGTATTCAGGAATTGAACTTAGGTCTTCAAGGCAAGCACTCTATCATTAAGCCACATTCTCAGCCCTTTGTTGACTCCTCTTATGTGTGATGACTTTTGGCCATCAAGAAGGCTTTTATTGCTGGCTTAGATATTTTCTGCTGATATTACAACAGAACTATTATAACAGAACTATAACTGATAGTTATACTGGGACAGAACAGAGCAGGTTAAGCAGGGATACAGACCTTGCTTTGATTTGTGCTGGTCTTGGGGATTGAACTCAAGATCTGGGTGCAGTCTCTAAGATTTTTTTTCTCAAGGCTAATACATTTGAGCCACAGAACCACTTCTGGCTTTTCCTGAATAGTTTACTGGAGATAAGCATTTCACGGACTTTCCTGCCCAGACTTGCTTTGAACTGCAAAGCTCAAATTTGACTCTCGAGTAGCTAGGATTATAGACAGGTATGAGCTACCAGCACCTAGTCAGGACATATATAGACTGCTGTCTCCTAGAAAACGGCACCAGACAGGGCTCTAAGGTGCCAGTAATTGAACCAAAGACCAATATAACAATATTTTTGTAATATAGTAATTGTTACCTAACTGTGGTAATAGCTTAATAGCTTTTTAATGCCTATAGACAGGGGAAAAAATGTTGAAAGTTTGGTATATTCATACTATGGATTCCCCTCCTTTTCTATTTGTTATCATTCCCAGCATCAGGGCTGGGCTTCTAACAATTTTGTTGTACTTACTGTGTGTCCAAAGTCTCTATTGGGTTCCATTAAGCAGGCAAGTTTCCCACTATTTTTAGAGTATTTCCCTAACCTCTTTATGTAGTATTTTCTAAGCCTTGTTTCTATCGTGTTATCTCTAGAAAACAAAATGAATGGTAGGTAGAATAAAGATGGTTTCAGACATGCAAGGGCCCCAATTTCTTTTGATACGTCTTTTCTAAAGTTACTAGAGAGAAAGACATGGAATCCATGAAAAAATGCATTCAATCCAAGGGAGAAGTCAAGGAAATTCCAAGATGACACACTTGCAGGAAGTCTGCACATTTACTATCATTAGTATAGTAGGGAGACAAAGTGATCAAGATACAAGGTAAGAGAAAAAAGAAAAGACAATGAGAAACTGCAGAAAAACTAACAACATGTAAGGCTCAGAGCCTCATGGACTTTCCTGGCTGGCTTCACACTGTGATCCTCAGATCTCAGCTTTTTGTAGCTTGGATTATCGGCATGAGCCACCAGTGCCTGTTTTTTTTCGTTGAAAACTAGAAGCAATACAGACTAAATAAAATTATCTCTGGGGTATGAGGTAGGGGTGAGGTACACAACACATGATTCAATCATCACCAAGCTCTTTCTATACATTTTCTGTCCAGTAGAAAAGCCATTAGTTTTGTGTGGCTTCAGAGTACTTGAATGTAGATAGTACCATTTGAGATTTTTTTTGTGTTATGAGCTTGAAACCTTTGTATAAAAAAAGGGATAGAAAAAGCACATTAATTTTTATATCATTTACACATTAAAATGGTAACATTTTGGCAGTTGGGTCAAACAAAATGATATTAAAATTAACCATTTTCTTCTGATTTTTCAATATGGTTTCTGGAGAATTAAAGTTACATGTGGTTCACCTTATACAGTATAAATTTAAACCTCCATTTGATTTCTATATGTGACTTTGATAAACTAGTGCTAGTAAAAATGAACTGAAAAACAGATTCCAATTAACACTATTTCCAAATTGTTGCAGAATCTTAATAAATAAGATCTAAACTAATGTCTGGTGGCTAGAGCATAGGCTCAATGGTATAGTAGTTATACACACATACCTACTGGAAACCAGTATCTATAGGACAATGTCTACGGCAAAAATCACTGAGACAAAATGAATACACTCTTAGAAATATATAGTTTACATCTTAACCTAGAACTACCTCTGAGCAATTCTTTTAGGAAGACTTTTACCTTAAAAAATTGGGGAAAGTACTCTTTATTATGCATGAAATATTTCCTTAAAATGCTGTGACAACTAAGGCACTGAATTTGGTAAACAGTATTGGCAAGAAAAAAAAAGTGAGATAAAAAAGACAATCTTACATGAAATACTGCATTTAATATTGTAAAGTATTAAATATATAAAAATATTAAACTGGACAGTCTTATACATGTTTTTTCTACAGTGTTTTAGAATATATCCTAGACATTGTATCATTGATTAAGCAGAGGAGAACCAGCCATTTCTTCTAACAAATGCTTTATTCTGGACTTTATTACTTCCGAGTGGAAGTATTTAATTCACTCCCAAATTTCGAATATTTCCTATAAAACGGAAAACTAAGTCCTTTTCAAATTTTTGAAATAATTAAGTTCTAATCTAAGGCATCCAATGTATACAATGAATTAACCTAGAATGGTACGATCTTATGGAAAAATTGAGAAAGTAGTTGCTCAGGGTTTTTTTGCAGTATTTATTTCCTTCACAGAACCTAAGTTGAGAAAGGCTGCTGGGAAGTGTCATTAGATTCAATTTACTCTTTCTGACACATAATATACTTCTGTCACAAGTATACACAGTTATAATTTTTGACAAATAGTAGCAAATACCTTATATTTTTTAGAGTTGCTAAGATTCATTAAAGAATTTAGGTATGCTAATATACTCTTCTCAAATTTAATTTCCCCACCAACATTTTACTTAATCCTTAAATAGTCACCAATCATTATTGCCTAAATTTATTAGGCTATTAGGAGTGGAAAAGTTGTGGTGATATTTTATTTTACCATACTCTTATATAAGAACTGCAAAGAACACTTCCAACAACTATTTGGTAACCTAATAGTTCATACAAGAACGCTTTTTTTTTTCCATGTGAAGATACCCACTTTTATTATAATGATTTGATATCTAACTAGCCTAGCACTAACTAACTGCTGGTAAGGACCAAAGAGGCACACGTATTGTCCCTCTCTTTCTCTGACCTAGCAGCATCTTTTATCTTTTCAGTTCTTCAAACACTTCAAACCCAGAGCTCTAGCCCTAAAACAGGCAAATAAAACTCCCCCAAGCCCACTACCATCATATAGTTCTGTACATATGAGTTCCACGCTACTTTCTGACTGGCAGCAGTGCCCATGTGACTGGTTCCTTTTATTCCTTTAGATTTTTTTTGGTCCGGTTGTGGGGCCTGAACTCTTGGCCTGAGTGCTGTCCCTCAGCTCTTCAGCTCAAGGCTAGCACTCGACTACTGAGCCACAGTGCCACTTCCGGCTTTTTTTTCTTTTTGCTTATATGGTGCTGAGGAATCGAACCCAGGGCCTCAGGCATGCAAGGCAAGCGCTCTACCACTGAGCCAACTTCCCAGCCCTATTCCTTTAGTTTTCTGCTTCAGTGCATTTTCCCTGACAACTGATATTTCACTACTGTTTTCTATCACATTTACCTTTCTTTATATATAGAAACAAAGGTCAATTTTTAAGTTATTCCTCTTCTGCACTGATTTCCCACCACCACCTGGCAAGTAACCATGTTACTTTTATTTATTGATCTAGTAATATATAGCACAAAGTGTATATATTAATATATCTACTAAATCAATGCAGAATATGCAGGATAGGATGTGAGAGACCTCAGTTTCAAACACTACAGGTATTAATACGAGAAAGTAGTTAGAGAATATATGTAAACCTTTTAAAATAGAAAATGGCTATGTGCTGGTGGCTCACACCTGTAATCCTAGCTACTCAGGAGGTTGAGATCTGAGAATTGTAGTTCGAAGTCATCCTGGGCAAGGAAGTCTGTAAGACTCATTTCCAATTAATCACAGAAAAAATAGGAAGTATGAGCCGGGCACCAGTGGTTCACGTCTATAATCCTAGCTACTGAGGAGGCTGAGATCTGAGGATCTCGGTTCAAAGCCAGCCCGGGCAGGAAAGTCTGTGAGACTCTTATCTCCAACAAACCACTAGAAAACTGGAAGTGGTGCTGTGGTTTAGAGTGCTAGCCTTGAGCTGAAGAGCTGAGGGACAGCACCCAGGCCCAGAGTTCAAGCCAAAAGAAAGAAAGAAAGAAAGAAAAAGAAAGAAAGAAAGAAAGAAAGAAAGGAAGGAAGGAAGGAAGGAAGGAAGGAAGGAAGGAAGGAAGGAAGGAAGAAAGAAAGAAAGAAAGAGAAAGAAAAAGAAAGAAAGGAAAGAAGGAAGGAAGGAAGGAAGGAAGGAAGGGGCAGAAAGAGACAAAGAGAGAGAAAAAGAGAGAGAGAAAGAGAGGGGGAAGGAAGGAATGAAGGAAGGAAGGAGAGAGAGAAAAAGAGAGAGAGAGAGAAGGAAGGAAGGAAGGAAGGAAGGAAGAAAGGAAGGAAGGAGAAAGAGTGGGAAGTAGAGCTGTGGCTCAAGTGGTAGAGCACTAACTAGCCTCAAGCAAAAGGAGCTCAGGGACAGCACCCAGACCCAGTGTTCTAGCCCTAAAACGGGCAAATAAAACTCCCCCAAACCCACTACCATCATATAGTTCTGTAAATGGCTTTACTAATATCTATCTAAAACTAATAGTTCTTACTATTTAATTAGGTTGTGAGTGGCTTCTAGTTGTTTTTGGTGAATTCTCTAAGTGGTTTCTAACTCTGCTAATCAAATATTTTAAGCCGGTAAAATATATATATATATATATTTTTTTTTTATTTATTTATATATATATATATATATAAAAAATATATATATATTTTGTAAGAAGCAAAATACCTAGAACTTAAGCCAAATAATAGAGCTACAGTTTTACTCTTATTTTGTGACATATTTTTCTTCTTCCTTTTTTGGCTGTACTTTTGAAATCACAGCCTTCTATCACTTAAGCTATGCCTCCAGCCCCAATAGTAACTTTGATATAACCTAAAAATAACATTTCAAAAAATAAAAAGTCACTCAGTAAACTGATTATACAAATACATAATTATGATATGCACCTTTCAAATATGTAATTGTTATATATAATACCCCAATTGGAACTAGAGATCAAATCCAGGGCATCACACTTACTACATAAACATTCTACCATTGAGCTACATCCCCTGACTGTATGGGAGGGGGAGTGGGGAGGGGAGGGGAGGGGTGTGTGTGTGTGCGCGCGCTTTTAAAATGCTAATGGCTAAATGGACAAATTAGTAATAAATCTGTACTGTTTTTAAAAGTATGGTAATCTACAGCTTTGATAAACCAACAATAATTCTCAGGTCAAAGTGCTCACCTATTTTGTCTTGTAGTTTCTCTTCTCATTCTTTTAGGAGGAATTGGGCATTCAGTCATCTCAACTTTTGGTGAATGGCGCAAAGAATCATTACACTTACGTGTAGAAGTCATACCTGTAAAAATGGAAAATTAACTATAAAAAGACTGAATATTATATGAAAGAAAAGCAAACATATTTTAATTTATAAAAAGGCAGTTAAGGGGCAGGGTAGGTGGCTTAGTGGTAGAGTGCTTGCCTTGCACCACATAAACAGAAAAAGCCAGAAGTGGTGCTGTGGTGCTATGGCTCAAATGGTAGAACACTAGCCCAAAAGCTGAGTGATACATCCCACACCCAGAGTTCAGGCCCCACGACCAACAACAAAAAAAAGGCAGTAAAAAAAATAATATTCAGAATCCTGTTTACTATTCCTGTTAAGAATATAGTTTAAAACCAGTTATCAAATGACTTGGATGTTAAGAGTATTTAAGAATGTTTTTTTAATATTAAGAATTTCTTAGAGACAGGAGACGGTAGCTCACACCTGTAATACTAGCTACTCAGGAGGCTGAGATCTGAGGATTGTGGTTCAAAGCCAGCCTGGGCAGGAACATCCATGAGACTCTTATCTCTAATTAACCACCAGAAAACTGTAAGTGGCACTGTGGCTCAAGTGGTAGAGTGTTCACCTTGAGCTAAAGAGTTCAGGGACAGAGCCCAGGCCCAGAGTTCAAGCCCCATAACCAACAACAATAATAACAACAAAGAATTTGTCTAGTTTGGATCATTTTTTTGTAGTTATACTTCTTTCATCATAAATAACTATCACTATATAGAAAAGCTAACAAAAAGTAAATATATACCAAGTTTTTGCTCTATGAGTTTCAAACTTTTTTCTTGTTCGTCAAGTTCTTGCTTTTTCTTCTTCATATCAGGAGTGTGAAGGTACTCTAATTGACCGTTAAGGTCCTGATTCACACTACCCAGCTTGCATACAGCTGAGCGATATTGTTGAAGAAGATCTGAAAAGAAATCAAACATTTGAATAAATTATTAATATTATACCAAATTCATATTTTACTAAAGAATTAGCAACAACAGCTAGCCCCCAGTGGCTCATACCTGTAATCCTAGCTCCTCAGGAGGCTGAGATCTGAGGATCGTGTTCAGAACCCAGACAACAAAAACTACCAGAAAACCTCAAGTGGCACTATGGCAAGTGGTAGAGAACTAACTTACTTCTGATTGCTTGTCTTTATTTTCATGTCAAGCAAGAGTGTCCAGTCACAACCCTTCCTCTTTTGTGCTTCTGAGGTTTTAACCCAGTTACTTGCACATGTTAGGCAAATACTCTTTCAGTGAAACTATATCCCCACACCTAAGAAGTTTCTCCATGAAAGTGTGGTCAGTCAACATCTGTCTCAGTGCTATCCTGAATGACATAAAGTATTCATTGGAATTCCATACAAGGAAAAGAATCAGAAAGGGAGAATTAACAGAAAGGGCTTAAATAATATAATAATGTTTTGATTTTTCAACCACGGTCACATAAGTGAAAACTGATGAATAATAGGAGATCTTTTAAACATGTACATTTATTTGATCTAAAATGTATTATACTGATCAGGTTTGAAACTACTGACTGCATGATTTACTAAACACTGAATATTAAATATATCTAACTTAAGTGTTAATAAACTACAGACCAAAAATGGTTTGAACAGTTTTATGGTTAAATATTAAATGATTGTATAAATGCCTTCACAATATCTTTAATATAACTTGTAACACCTAACATGTTTATCTAGTCCTTTAAAACTATAAACGTTGTTCAGAACTTATGCTGAATGTCTGTGACCTTAGCACTAAGTAGTTTAATATATTAGGGTCACGAGCTCAAATCCAGCCTGAGCAATGTAGCAAAATCCTTTCCCAATGGACAAATGAACAGTTAAATACTAAACTGTAAATGAAATACAAAAATGATCAACATTCACAGGAATAGAAAAACACCCTAAGATTTAGCAAAGACACAATAGTTTATATGTAATATTTTGGAAGAAACATGTTAACAATAGTGTACATCAAATATGAGATATTTTATATAAGAACAGTATTTTATGGACAATTATATACAATTCTACATAGAATTCTATACAGAATTATCCACAATTCTATACAGAATTATCCACAATTCTACACAGAATACATGTGAAAAAATACACATGCATATGTATCTGAGTATATTCATGAATAGAGGTTGAATAACCCTTACTTGAAATATTTGAGATCAAAAATGTTTCAGATTTTGGAACCTTTCAGATTTTACAGGTTGAGTGTCCCTAATCCTCATCTTTAGACTAGGGAAATTCATGTAGATTAGGGACACTGTACATGGGTGGGATCAATATACTCAAATATGTAGAACTGAGTGTGATAGTATCCTTACATTTTTTATGACTTATTACAAATCCTAAGAAAAAACTTTTTTTGCTCTAAAAGTACTTGTCACTTTCAGTACTCACAGTAACTTTTGTTGTATGTGAATGAGTACAAAATTATGTACAACAGAACATTAGTATTGTTGGACTTAGAGAAAAGACAATATGCAATATTTAGGTTATCAAGAGTTAAATCTTGTTAATACAGTAAGTTACCTGTGATGATCTTGGTCTTAACAGCACTTATTTGCTTACTTTTTTTTTTCCCCCCAGTCCTGGGGTTTGAACTTAAGGCCCGGGCATTGTCCCAGAGCTTCTTTTGCTCAAAGCTAGCACTCTGAACACTTGAGCTACCGCACCACTTCCAGCTTTTTCTGCTTATGTGGTACTAAGGAATCGAACCCAGGATTTCATGTATGCTAGGCAAGCACCCTACCACTAAACCTCATTCTTAGTCCTTTAAAATTTTTTAAAGTAATTCTACGTATTAGCATACAATAGTACCGATGTGGGAATCACAAGATAAATCAGATGGCTCTGGTAGAACACCGGCTATTCTAAGCAGCAGGACAATTCCATGCCTCCTGCAAATCTAAAACTTGGTGTTAGGATTTGAAGAAAAAATAATGTCTTTTAAAGGCTAGCTTTGGTGAAGAAAAAAATGCAATACCCCTTTATCATGAATATTGTTAGGATACATCACGACCATCCCAGGGACCACGTAGAGGCAGGTAGGCACAGGAAAAGATTATTATAAGGTTTATTAGAGGGGCCATATATTCCCTTGGAGAGGGAGCAAAATGGCATCTGCCCCCATCCACGTGGGTAGCTCTGGGGCAAGTGGCGTGTGCAGGTAGGTCTGTTGGAAAGAGAATGAGTGGCCAGCTATATGGTAGGAACTCTAGAGCAGGGAGGAGTTCAGGAGTGGGTAGAGCTGAGGACCAGAGGTGGGGATAATGTTAACAAATATAGCAAATAATAATAAGATTGTGATCAGTGAAAGAAGTCATAAATACCTAGCTGAATTTCAAGAAAATTCAAAGAACTGATTAAGAAGAATATAGAAGGTGCAAAGAGTAAGTATGGTAAATACACTGAAATTCTTTTTTCTTTTTGTTGGTCACAGGGCTTGCACTCAGGGCCTAGGTGCTAACCTTGAGCTCATTCACTCAAGGCTAGCTCTACTTCTGGTTTTCTGGTGGCTTATTGGAGGTATTGCTTATACAACATAGAAATATTGGGTGATCTTAATACCCCACTCTCACCAGACAGGTCATCTAGGTTAAAAAAAGATCAATGAAGGAATTGTATAGACTCTGTGATTCAAATGGATTTCACATATATTTACAAAACATTCCATTCAGCAGCCACAGAATACAAGTTCTCAAGAGCCCACAAAATATTCTCCAAAATAGATCATATCTTAAGACATAAAGCATGTTTTAACAAATAAAAGAGAACTGAGATAATTTCCTGTATTTTATCAGATCACAATAAAACTAGAAACTGTTAACAAAAGAAAGTACAGGAAATATACAAACACATAGAGAGTGAACAATTCACCTTTACATGATCATTGAAGAAATAAGAATGGAAATAAAAATTTCTTTAAACAAACAAAAATGAAAGCACAACTTACTACAACTTTTGGGACACATCAAAGGCAGGTCTAAGAGAGATGTATTAGTAGCTATGAGTTCATTCATTAAAAATTCAGAGAAACATAAAATAAAAACAAACTCTTAGCCGGGCACCAGTGGCTCACACCTGTAATCCTAGCTACTCAGGAGGCTGAGATCTGAGGCTTGTGGTTCAAAGCCAGCCCAGGCAAAAAGTCCGTGGGACTCCTATCTCCAACAAACCACCAGAAAACAAGAAGTAGTATTGTGGCTCAAATGGTAAAGCGCTAGCCTTGAGCTGAAGAGCTGAGGGACAGTGCCCAGACCCAGAGTTCAGGCCCCACAACCGACAAAAAACAAAACAAAACACAAGCTCTTAGAAAAACAAGAATGAGCAAACCACAAAATAGCACATGGAAAGAATAAAGATCAGGTAAATATTAATAAAATGGAAACTAAAAGATGAATACAAAGAATGAAATGAAATGACGAACAAGAAGACTGACAAACCCTTAGCTAAACTAACCAAAAGAAAGAGGGAAAAGATTCAAATTAGTAAAATTAGAAATGAGAAAGGGACATCACAATAAATGCTAAAGAAATTCAAAGAATCACTGAGTATACTTTGAGACATGTAACAGTGAACATAGATGTGCAAAAGTGTCTTTACCATATCGTTGACTTAGATGGCCAAGATCATAGGGTAGTTCTTTTTTTCTTCCTTTTAATTTCATTTTATTGTAAATGTGATATATAGAGGGGTTACAGTTACATATGGTAATGACTGTTTAGTTTTTTGATGAAATCTCCAACCCGCCTTCCAGACTAGTTCTACTAATTTACATTACCATTGATAATATAACAGGATTTATCTTTTTCAACATCCCTGCCAGCAATTGGTATTGTTCAAATTCTGGAATCTGATCAATCTTACTGGGGTAAAATGGAATCTCAATGTTGTTTTGATTTACATTTCCTTTATGGCCAAAAATATTGAGCATTTTCTTATGTTTCTAAGACTCCAATGCTCAAAAAATGAAAGCAAAAATGGACAAATGGAGATTTAACATATGTAAAAGCTTCTGAACAGAAAAGGAAATAACTATCAGAAGGAAGAGATAACCTACAGAATTGCCAACTATTCACTGGGAAAAGATTAATGAGCAAATAAACTGACCAGATCTCAAAAAAAAAAAAGAAGTAACAACTGCCAATGAAGACATAGACAGTATCTGTAGCCTAAAAAGAAATACAAATCTAAATTACACTGAGATTCCATCTTACCCCAGATTGAATGGAAATAATGAAGAAAATAAAAAAGCTGGGCACAATGGCTCATGTCTGTAATCTACTTGGGAAGCAGAAATTGGGAGGCATTAACAAGCTGGTTGTAGTGATACGTGCCTTTGGTCTCAGCTAAGAGGGAAGCTATAAGAGATGCCCTGTGGACTGAGCGTGGACAAAAACATAATATCCTCTCTAAAAAATAATCTTAAAAAAACAACTTTAATTGTAGCTGCCTAGGAGGCTGAAATTGGAATGACTACAGCTTGAAGCCAGGCATACATGTGAGACCTCTTTCTAATCAATATTTGTGCACATCATTTTAGCTATGTGCAAAGCTAAGATAAGGAAGATCTCAGTTCTATGCTAGCCTGAGTAGAAGTCTATGGTCTATGAGACTATCTTAACAGAAGAAGCTGGATATATGTGGTGGTGTGCACCTGTCCTCTCAGCTACAGTGGGAAGTAAAAAATAAGATGATTATGGTCTACGTATGTGCCTGACCAGAAAATGAGACCCTATCTCAAAAACATCAGTGTAAAAAAAAAAGAGTGCCTCATAAAGCACATACATATCTAGTAAATACGAGGCACTTAGTACAAACCCCAGTATCAGAAGAAGAAAAAAAAAGAAATCTAGGGTGGCAAAAAAGCTGGGGATACACAGTTCAAGTGGCAGCCCTCATTTCAAACCTAGTACTACTAAACAAATAGGCAAACAAAGAAAAAAAAAAAACTAAAACCAATAAACGCTATCAAGGATTCAGGGAATAAACCTGTATACACTGTTGGTGGGAATGTAAATTTTGCAGTCAATATGGAAGTCAGTATGGAGGCTCCTTAAAAAACTAAAAACAGAACTACCATATGACCCTAGAAAAATTACTGGCTTTTTTGTAATAGAATCTAAATATATAAACCCACAAAAGATTTAAAAACTGAATTAGAAATTATTTATGAACTTATTCAACTTACCAATTTGTTCTCCTAAAATCCTGCACTGTTTTGGTATAGGAGCTCCAAATACCATTCCTCGAAGTTTATCCATTGGAGGAGCTTTATTCTGAAGACCCCCAAACTTCCCATTACTTCGAATTCTATCTCCATCTCTGGTCAGCAGTGTGGGGCAATGAGTGATTTTAACAACCTATTTTAAGTAAATGGATATTAGTGAGCAACTTATTTCAATCACTGAGAAAAGAAAAATAAGGGTGCTGAGATTAGAAAGGACATACAAGTTAGTGATATGTATAATGAACTGTACAAGGGCATCAGAGTTTTTTCCAAGTGTTAGCTTAAAATAGCGACAAGACAAATGGAAAAAGTGACATTGCTAACTTAATTGATAAGTGAAGAAAGGAAGAAGCCTGAGAGCTTGGTGCTTCTGTTATTCATGGCAGTAAATATTAAGGCAGCTTTGAAAATGTCAAATACACAATGTCCAGGGTGCTTCAAAAAAATAGACCTTTATGTACTAATTTGCGCCATGCTTCTCAAAGAGAAGAGGTAAGTGTTAAAAAATTTGGACAGGGGCTGGGAAGGTGGCTCAGTGGTAGAGCGCTTGCCTTGCATGCATGAGGCCCTGGGTTCAATTCCTCAGCACCACATAAGCAAAAAGAAAAAAGCTGGAAGTGGCGCTATGGCTCAAGTGGTAGAGTGCTAGCCTTGAGCTGAAGAGCTGAGGGACAGCACCCAGGCCCAGAGTTCAGGCCCCACGACGGACAAAAAACAAACAAACAAACAAAAAAGTTTAGACAGCCGGACACTGGTGGCTCTTGCCTTTAATCCTCGCCAGTGGCTCATGCCTATAATCCTAGCTACTCAGGAGGCTTAGATCTGAGGATCACAGTTCAAAGTCAGTCTGGGTAGGAAAGCCCATGAGACTCATATCTCCAATAAACCACCTAGTATGCAGAGACAACAAATAATTTAATATATAAAATTAACCAAAGAGGCTGAGCACTGGTGGCCCAAGCCTACAATACCTATTCAGGAGGCTGAGATCTAAGGACTGTGATTCAAAGCCAGCCGGGACAGGAAAGTCCCTGACTCTTATCTCCAATTAGTTACCAAAAACAGAACAAAAAGCAAAAATCAAAGTGGAGTTGTGGCTCAAAGTAGCTGACAAAGAAAAAAAAAAATCTTGCTTTGGCAACACATACTAAAATTGACAGATACAGAGAAGATTATAATGCATGGTGCCTGCACAAGGATGATGCAAAAAATTTGAGGCATTCTATATTAAAAAAAAAAAAAGAAAGAAAAGATGTGGCTGGGCGCCAGTGGCTCAGGCCTGTAATCCTAGCTACTCAGGAGGCTGAGATCTGAGGATCATGGTTCAAAGCCAGCCCAGGCAGGAAAGTCCGTGAAAACTCATCTCCAATAAACCACCAGAAAACTGCAAGTGGTGCTGTAGCCCAAGTGGTAGAGCGCTAGCCTTGAGTTGAAGAGCACAGGGACAGCGCCGAAGCCCAGAGTTCAAGCCCCAAAACCGACCAAAAAATGTTGCTTACCTCTAGTTCATAAATTTTAATATTAAAAATAGCACTTTATCTTACACTAGAGTTTCCTATAGTTATTTGATTTGTCTAATTCTTATTTGTACTTCAAGGCAGAGTAGTATGCTAAATCAAGTTTGTACAGGACTCTAAGAGCTAGGTCTCTTGCACTTAGGAACTTCACTTAAGCAGCTGAAAAAGTCATGATGAATATTTACATCACAGAAACTGAAAAAGCTAAAAAGAGCTTCCTTTCTCTCTGCCCACGCAGCTGATTATCCAGCAGTTATTAACACACAACTTTGTTTTATATATAAATGCTTAAATAGCTGATAAAACTAATCATAATCTTCGTTTTTATCTTAACTGTTGAGTCTATTCTTATTAGTAAAGCTGCTCACGTTCTCTATAAACAGATACTAGGTTATTCTAATATTTAAGGGACACAGTTTCCGTTACATAATCAAGGACACATAAAAATGCTAATGACCACCAGACAGTAGCCCATTTTCCAATTTCTGGAATAGTTTATGGTTTGTATTATTAGATTCACAAGGAAATATGAGATACTGAGCAGTACACCGCAGTTTGCTGTATAATTTTCAAAAAAACACACACTAATTTAGCTTTCCTAAATTTAAGAAGCCACATTTATTCCTGTTTCGTTACCAGGACTGAAGAAAGAAAGCTTTGAGTACTTCTAGCTCTACTAGGAGTTGGTGTGATGAAATATAGTGTATTACTTGTTTTGGGTTTAAAGTTTCTTCTCAATAAATTGAGACTAGATGATGTCTAAGGTCCTCACGACTCTAGAAAGTTGTATTCAGGTTATTAGCTCCTATTTTAAGCTGGTCTATTTTCTCTGATATAGCTAGTAACATTGTTACTCATTTTCAGTTTGCAAATCTACAATGATTTCAACATAAGATTAATCTGGTATTTTCAGGCCTTTAACACCTACTAATGTATTACTTACATAGATCAGTGGATGAACAGTACACATAGAAACTAATACACCTTGTGTATCGAATCTGTGAATACCAAAAGACTTTTCATTACTAGAATTTTATCTGTGTTAATCTTCTAAATTTTTACAATGTTTCAAAGTAGACTTCCTTTCTTTTTAAATGAGCAGTGCTGTTACTGGATATGGCTTTGCATGTGCAAGTTAAGTGTCTACCACTGTGTTACATCCTCACCTCTCCTTTGTAAGTAAACTTAAAAGCAATGGGAAGTAAAATATACAACATTATGTCATGTATCTTCCTTTTTTTAAGTACAGAAAATAAGGGCTGGGGATGTGTTTAAATGCTGCGTGCCTGCCAAGCAAATACAAAGCTGTAAGTTCAAAAACTACTTCATATAGGAAATTATTCTTAAACATAATCATTTTGCAACCTTCCATAAGCCATTTGTACATTTTCCTTGCCAAACATAAAATCTAATACATTGTTTTTAATAACTACTTCCCATTCTACCATGTAAGCTACTAAACTGTTTAATCCTACTTGACGAGCACCATATTTTGAATAATTTTTTTCATACATCTTGAGACATTTGTAGAACATATCTGTAATATTTATTGATTGGTGTTTGAAAGTTAAACCCAGGGCCTTATGTGCTCTTTGCAAGCATTCTACCACTGAACTAATAACCTCACCTATACATGAATACTTTGTAATAATTTTAAAATAGCTACAAATTCTTTACTGTTGCCTCCCAAGAAAAGGGCCTCATACATGCAAGGCAAGCACTCTACCATTGAGCCACTTTCCCAGCCCCTCAAGAATAATTTCAAGCAAGGTATTTCTAACTTGGAACTTGATGGATTGAAAAAAAAAATTTTTTTTCCCTCCTTTGCCTGTGCATCAGTGAAGCCAAGCATGGTAGTACTACCCTCCTAGGATGTGATTTCAAACCCTTAGACTCAAATGGCCCTTTGGCTTTAAACTCCTAAGTGTTGGGAATACAATGCATGCCACTGAGCACGCTAAGATTTCTAAAACTGCTTGGGGGGGGGGGGTAGGGGAGGGAGGGATAGGAAGGGATCGGAAGGGAAAAAAAGATTTCTAAAACTCTTAATGGCACCATCCATGCAGACAGGGACAACTGAACCACTGGACAATGCCAGCTGACTGACCAGATGGCGACCAGTGCTATCAGCCAAGTAGGGGAATTATAGCAAGCTTCCATCATCCCAGGGCAATTAGACAAACTGCTACTAGCTAACATCCTTTGAAGAAATCCAGAGTTACAAAAACTAAACCCTGCTGTTTATAACACACTTTTAGGGAGTTTGTTATGTAGCAATAAAACTTTGAAATACTTACATTGCCAAATTTCCTATAAATTGAATTGTGTTCCCTTAAAGTTTGAATGAAATACTAATTCCCATTAAATCATTTTTACGTGCTTTTCAAGTTAAAATGAGGTCATTAGTAAGGTCTGATGGCATATGATTGTCATCTTATTGTAAGAGGGCAATCTGGAACTGTAACACATTAATATGAAGGGATATAGGGAGAGACAGCAATTTTCAAGGCAGGGAGATAGCTCTGAAACAGACATCTCACTTAGTTCTAAGAAAGCAATTCTGGTAACAGCTTGAATTTGGACTCACAGCCTAAAATCTGTGAGATAAAAAGCTTGTACTGTTTACACTGCCCAAGTCTAATATTTTGTTATGGCAGTCCTAGAAAACTAACACCAAATTATACTTCCACCAACACTGAGTGAGTTTTGAGTTCCAGACAATTTCATAACCTTAAACACATCTCATTTGCATTTGTATCTTGGAACATTTGTTTATATATTTTTGTCCAATCTTATGTTATTAATATGCAGGATTTAAGTTGGGTTTGCTTAAGCTATGTATGTGCATGTATCATTAACATTATTTGTTTTTCTTAGAGACATGATCTCACTATGTTGCCCAGTCTGACCTAGAACTCTCAACTGCCTGCTTCAGCCTTGTGAATGCTAGGATTTACATGCATGTGTCACCATGTCTCAAAAATAGAATGATTATTATGTCTTTATTATTTTGTTTTTGTTTTTCCAATCCTGGGGCTTGAACTCAGGGCCTAGACACTGTCCTGGAACCTTTGTGCTAAAGGATAGCACTCTACCACTTGGGCCATAGTGCCACATGTGGCTTTTTCTGAGTACTTTATTGGGGATAAGATTCTTGTGGACTTTTCTGTCTAGGCTGGCTTTGAACTGCAATCCTCAGATCTTAGCCTCCAAGTAGCCAGGATTACAGGTGTGAGCTACTGGTGCCTGGCTTATGCTAAATTTTAAAAATGTAAGTTAGGGCTGGGAAGGTGGCTCAGTGGTAGAGCGCTTGCCTTGCATGCATGAGGTCCTGGGTTCAATTCCTCAGCACCAAATAAGCAGAAAATAAAAAAGCCGGAAGTGGTGCTATGGCTCAAGTGGTAGAGTGCTAGCCTTGAGCTGAAGAGCTGAGGGACAGCACCCAGGCCCAGAGTTCAGGCCCCATGACCGGACCCTCCCAAAAAAATTTTTTTAAAAAACAATAAAAATAAAAATGTAAGTTAGAATTAATTGGACCTACAGGTTAAAAAAAGAAATGAAGTACAAACCTCTCTTCTATAATGATTGGCTGCATCCAGGTTATCCAAAATAATGGTGTCTCCTAACAGCATACCAAATACTAAAAACACCAAAAGATTAATATTAAAGAATATTAATAACATTAGCACTTACAAAGCTAAGAACATACTTTTCATTACTACACATCTGTATCACAAATATCTGTATAAAATAAAACCACCACAATACCCTTTACCTGTTTCACAATGTTCTACATTATCTGGAAATGTTAACAAGTCTCGAGCAAAGACTGGATCTCCACTGGGTTTAAAATATAATTTTCCATTTCGGAAATGAGGGAGAGGTCTAAATTAAAAATAAATAAATGTATTAAACACATGTAACAATTTCAAAAAATAAAAGAGAAACATGATTATGCATCATTTTGACCATACAATCAAGTGCCCATCTATCACAAGTGATACCCTAAATAATCAAATATCGTGTCCTAGAAATGAAAATAGTTACCGTGTAAAAATATCTGGTTGGTTTTTGTTTCAGAAATTCAAGATCTTTTATTCCTGCCCTACAGAGGATCACTTTATTTTTTTTTTAATTTTAAGTAAGTTTTTTATTGTAAAAATAGCATACAGAAGGGTTACAGTTACATGATTAAGGTAATGAGTACATTTCCTATCGAGCATTGTTACCTCCTCTTTCTTTTTCCTCTATCATCCCTTTCCTCTCCACCTTCCAAACTCCTCCTTCCCTCCCCACTACAAGTTGTAAAGTTCATTTTTAACACAGTGTCTTGTACATCTCATTGTTACAATGGGTCAACCTGTGTTTTGTTTTTTCCCTTCCCCTCCCCAAATTAGAAAAATGTATATACAAGATGCAGGGCACCAGAATCAAACACAGTGAAAACAGGGGTTAGACTGTGGGGGAGGAACATACCAAAGAAACAAAAAAAATACATAATACATTATAAGTACATTAAAAAACAATAGCAAGAAAGAAAAATCCACTTGTATCTGGTTGGTTTTATCTGTGCTAGTGAACTGTAAGTAAAATGACTTTTTAATATAAGCTAACTGCTTAGCTTGATGAAGAAAGGCAGCCTCTAAAGATGGACCATATGAGGATGCCAATGACATAATAACTGCCTCAAGTGAGGCCACAGAATGGGTACAGAAAGTTGCGCAGCTCAAGACTAGGACAGATAGGGGAGGCTATAAGTAGTTGTGAATCCCTGTAACTCTGATAGAGTAGAAAGAAACAGCTAAAGCCTAAGGATGATTATGATGATGGTGATGATGATGATGATAATAATAATAATAATAATTAAGTTTCAGAGATAATAAATGAATGGTGACTTTTCTTTTCATATAGAGGAGGTGGAGAAGTTAATAAGAGTAACAGGCAAAAAAAAACCCTATATCCCCCAAAAAGGAAGAGGTGAGAATACTAAGAATAGGAACAGAGGGGATTATGTAACTAGTTTCTACAACAAACTTTATACCCAATTCATTCTTTCCCTAAATGAAATATTTTCTTAAGTTGCTCTTCAGGAACTGTAGAGATAAAATAGAACTTTCCAAGAGAATCTTTTTTCCACAAAAAGTATTCCCCTTATCAATATAGTGATCTTGACCTGGCAGGAAGGCCTATGTTGACTAAAATGGGTATAAGTAGCAGAACGGTAAATTTGAAAATTGATATAGTCTTGAGTTCAAAATGCAGCTACTTTCTTAATCTATTTTTAGATTATATCACAACATGTTTATTAACAGTGTAGACTCTTATTGAGTTACTAATCTCCTTTAGATCCTCATACATGAATATAAGCCTTCTACAGTTGAAAAACAATTATTGGCAACAATGTTATACATTTTAATTGTTCTGTTAGCATTTTCTTTTAGCCTTTCTAAGATAAATTAAAAAAAAAACTTTCTAAGGTCATTTTTTTAAAGGCATAATTAGCTGCAAATGTGGCTCAGTGATAGAGTGCTTGCTTACCTTACATAAAGCCCTGGATTCAGTTCCTCAGTACCACATTAACAGAAAAAGCTGAAAAGTGGCACTGTGGCTCAAGTGGTAGAGTTTAGCCTTGAGCAAAAAGTTTAGGGAGAGTGTCCTAGCCCTGAGCCCAATCCCCAGGACCAGCCCCCCCCAAAAATGAAATAAAAAATAGAGGCTTTGCCAGGCACCGGTGGCACATGCCTATAATCCTAGCTACTCAGGAGGCTGAGATCTGAGGATCATGGTTCAAAGCCAGCCTGGGCAAAAAAGTCTGTGACACTCTTATCTCCAATAACCCACCAGAAAACTAGAAGTGGCACTGTGGCTCAAGTGGTAGAGTGCTAGCCTTGAGCTGAAGAGCTGAGGGACAGCACCCAGGCCCAGAGTTCA